GAAAATACATAAGTTTGCCTTCAAAGCGAGTCACCCGAATTAAATTCCTAAATTCGCGCCTTACATTCATTGTTGTTGTTGTCCCTAAGAAGAGAAAATGAGAGCTATGAACAATTCCTGGGACAATGCTACCATATTGTTACCTAGCCTGGAAATCCTACATTTGTAATTGACCCTTAATTGTAACAGACTGCGAGCAGTCTCTCTTTTGCTCGAAAATCCTTGAGGATCAACGCAAAACAAGTGAACGTGCGAGCGTGACACTGCGAGCGTGACCTACGCACACTCATGTTGTTTTGCATTCTTCCTTACGTTGTTCCCTACGGATTTTCGAGTAAAAGAGAGACTGCTCGCATGCAGTCTATAAGAGTAATAACTGCTGGCGATAAATTTTTTCAAAGGATGTGAATGAGTTCCTTCGAAGCAGCATATTCTGGTAACTGTTAATTATAAATTATGTGCCATCTTCAACTCAGTTGTCACTTCCCTAACCGGGGCAGCCGTAAAATAAGGAATCCGGAATTACAGAAATTGATAATAACGACAGAAAAAATTTCCTTAAGCAATGTCCAGTAACTAAATATAGGGGGTAAGGCAAAGTCTGCATACAAGCCAAGTGGCCCATCAGGCCGGAGTTTATCTCAGTTTCTGTTGCATGAAGCGACTAGGAGTATTTCTACTCCCCCCTGGATGGGATGCTAGTCCATCGCAGNCACCTGGGTGGAGAGAGGCACTGAGAGAGTCACTAAAATATAGGGGGGGGGGGGGAGTATTATTGCTGTTGTTGTTAATTTCCACTGCTTCACTACAACCATAAACTGTAACTGTGAAACATAACTAGTTTTGAACAACCCCCTAGCTATTAGGTGGATCACACTATTTATTGGGTAAATCATCATCCAGTCAGGGTTAGTAATTTTTCGGGTGGATCCATTCTTTGACGACCTTTGATCAACCTGGCTCCGACAAGAGCGCGGTCCTTGCCAAGGTCACATCGCCCAGAGAAGACTGGTGAGTAGCATAAAAGTCTCAGTGTTGACGTCAAAGCGGTGTTTGCGTGTGATGAATCTTTCAACACGGAATATGGAATCTTAAAACACAGAAACCGGAATATGGAATCTACAAATCAACGAAAACTAGCCTGCGAAAACAGCCGTCCTTCTTCGCCCCGAGTGGTGTTTCGCGAGAAAGATCTTCACATACGCGAAAACTACGTTGCATAGAGTTTGCCTGTAAAAATAAATAATCTAACCAAAAAAATTGTCTCAAACTTCACCTTTTTTTAAAGTATGGGTTTTCCATCTGTCGAAATTCGTGCAGCCTTTTCAGGCTGGTGAAGGCTACGGTTACGAGAGCCTTAACTAATGACCCTCGCTAACCTGCGCCATAATTTGATTCCGGCTAAGTACCCTGAGAGCAATTAAAGTAAGCTTGCTGGGAATTGCCATTTTCTTCAAGTGATCTGTAATGTGCTGGGGTATAATTTGGCCTTCATGCCTAGTAGATACTGAACAGGTTAGCGATGCCATGGAGAACAGGGTGTACGTCAGTGGCAGCCAACTTTACCTCGACTTGACTCGTCTAAATAAGTTTCTTAAGTTTGTTTTCCCCAACATACCAGATTAATTCCAGAAAAAAAAAACACTTTTCACACTGATACTGTTGCAAATCACCACCAGATATTCTTATCCACCTTCATGCTAAAATAATTTCTAAAAAGGTTGCACACTCACTTCCGTTTTCTCCTCGTTTGCGAACGGATCGAACTTGAGCCGGGACTAGGTTCAACAAACTGGATGGTAACTCTATGCACCCGAAAAATCAGTGAGCATGACTGAATAGTTATTTACCCAATGATAGCGGATCAACCTTTTGAACAACTGGATGAAAATGTATGGCTAGGGTTTGTTTAAAACTAAACATGTGTTTTTTTACAATTACAGTTTGTGGTTGAAGCTGAATAAATGTCTGACTTTTTGTGGTTTCTGATTTTAACTCTGCTACAGAGAATTCAGTCTTCTCACAAAACATATATCAAGGCGAAAGTGGTTAGGTTTGTAAAGCCTCACGGGAAAGCAAACTTAAAAAAGAAGAGGAGAGGGGAAGAAACCTCTTCCCAGTTCCTTTTCTCAAAATGACTTTTATCCCAAAACATACCAACCAGCTTACTTTCTAGGACTGAACGAACTTAGGAAGTCAAGCCAAGTGAATAAGAAGTTAGCCAAATGTCCACAAACTTCTGGTTCTGGATACATAGTTTTCCGCGCCACAATTTGTACGCTTTCGTGTGAACTTTGCTTTATAGCGCCTTTCTTCTTTGAAATCGCAAGAACGTTGACCAGTACTATGTTGTACCCTCAATAGGTACCTTTCGCGCACGCACCTTGAAAACAGTACTTCTCCACCCATCAAATATCTTCTTTACCCGGAGTGGGCATTCGCAGAACAATTGGGTGGGGGTGTGCGGCCCACTTCCCAAACCCCTTACCCTATTTATGACCAAAATCTGCGATTTTCCCTACCCTATTTATGACCTGACCCTTAAATCAATACCCTGTTTTAGACCTGTCGTATAATTAGTTCCCTAGTTCAGACCATTGTTAAATTGCGGTAAACATAATTTGTGAAGGGCTTTTGGTTACGGTCTTATCAAAATAATGAAAAAGCAGCTTCTTCTTAAAAACATACCCAATTCAAGACTAGAGTACAAAAACCATACAAAAAAAAAACAAAATGGCCAAAGTCGATACCCTAATTAAAACGAAAACGGCTGAAAACCATACCCTTTGGGGCCACACCTATCTATATAGCCCATATAAGGGAGTATCCACGAGTTGTTTACGAGTTTATCTCGTCACAACATGGAAACTGGCCACAACCTGATTTCCACCTCATTCGTGGCCACGTTAGGGAGCTTAAGGCCCAGTTCAGACGCCGAACTTTTCATGAGCCGAACTTAATTCGAATTTGGACCGACCCAAATTATCAAAAGTACACCTGTTGATTCAGACATCGAACTCAATTCGCCGAACTTTATTTAGTTTAAACCAAATCACATCGAAATGTCAGCGATTTTCAGGCAAAGTGAAAACCGCTTGTACAATACGTTATANCCGTTCCTAATTGATTCAAACGCCGAACTTTTCATGTACTTAATTCAATGTATTTGGTTCGGCTCATGGAAAGTTCGGCGTCTGAACTGGGCCTAAGAAAACCACGACGACAACGGCAACGTCGCTAAACAAAAGGTTTATTAATGAGGATAGCAATACATTTCTTTGCCGTCCTCTTCAAAACAGCAACGTGAAATGACCAAATTCTGCGTTGTCTGGAGAACGTGAACCACGACGGCTAATTTTTTTTAATTTCCGAATTAATCGATGTGTCCTAGATTATTTAGTTCCGTGATAGTTTTGACAGTGACAAACAAAGTAAATGACTTTAGGGTACCGCGAGATTCGTTGGTAAAATATAAACTCATTTTGAATTGACGTTCAGTCCTCGGCGTCGCCCTCGTGGTTTCTTAAGCTCCCTGTTGTTTCGGAAAGGGCGGTAAATCTGGGACCGATGTAGGCCTCGCGGAAGGATTGGGGGTTCAGTCGAAATCCCTAAATTAAAACAACTAACGCCGAAAGCTTGTAACTACATTAATTCAATTAACATTGAATAAATTAAATTAATAGCAACGTTAAACCTTTGCTGCTCGATGAAGCTTGAGCGTTTTGGAGATAAGAATATTACCTTCGCCGATGAATTTCTCATCATTTGTTTTTGATTCACCATAGGTAGCTCAAGGTCCTTTGGCATAATGTTTCCATAGTTATTACCTCCATTCTGAAATCACTAGTGATCCTTGCAATCTGATTGGCTCTCAGCAGTGCGATTTATTCACGAAATCGCGCTATCTTTTGCTCTAAATCGCATCTTTTTCTGCTTAGCATACAAAATTAGCCTGCTTGGCAGACCGTAGAAGGGGAGGGAAAGGGTGAAAATGAGCGCGGTAGGCCCTAGCACGCTTCGAGGAGGGACGGCGTCCCCTACCATTACGCGCTTCGCGTGCTCGTTTTTTCCCCTTTCCTCCCCTTCAGACGCCTGCCACGCAGGCTAATACAAAATAAGATGTAAAAGCGTTTCCGGTTCTGCTTTTTTTTTAAAACAAACTGGCTACTGGATCAACAAAATATTTGTACTGACCAAACTCCTGTATTTAAGAGATTGAATTGTGCGATTTCAAAAGGGATGTATTAAAGTGAAAATTGATCTTCGTGTCGAAGCATGGCAAACCTTACATAACAATCTGAAAAATAATGACCAGAACCAGATTAGACAGTTCTTGACGTTTTATATAAAGTAACAATGATTGACATCGGGTTATAACCCTAACCCTAATCCTATATCTTTTAGCCTGGAGTAGTTCTAATTAAAAAATTCGGTTTCTAGCAGCCAAAACCTGCATAGAGTATAGTGGTAAGTGAATATATCCTAACTCGAATTTCCTGGGTGCGACTCCTGGTGTCCGCAAACAGACTTTCTTGGCTTTCTTCCTCTTTATTTCTCATATAAAAAACTAAGAGTGAAATATCCTTGAATTCTACCATTTTGGTGCCGTCCAAAAAGTTTAAGCTTAACCCTGCAGGAGGGCTGCACATGTCTCCTCGAAATATCATTAACGTAATATAATCTCAACCTGTTTTCTTAAACAAATTCTCAGATATTTTCTGCAGGAAAATATCAACTTCCGGAAGTCTTGTACTGATAATCTAATTGTTAAATAGAAGTGCAGCTCTAAGCTCCCACTCCCTTCCTTATTAATTAATTGTATGATTACTTTCGATACTCAATTAAAAACCGCTCTATCGAAACCTATACCAAACAAATTGAGTTCTGACAGTTT